TACATTATATACAGTGTAATATACATAACACGCCAAGGATACACTGTATACAGTGTAATATACATAACACGCCAATGATACATTGTATACAGTGTAATATACATAACATGCCAATGATACATTGTATACAGTGTAATATACATAACACGTAAATGATACATTGTATACAGTGTAATATACATAACACGCCAATGATAAATTGTTTACAGTGTAATATACATAACATAACACGCCAATGATACATCGTACACGGTGTAATATACATAACACGCCGATGATACATTGTACACGGTGTAATATACATAACACGCCAATGATACATTGTTTACAGTGTAATATACATAACACGCAAATGATACATTGTATACAGTTTAATATACATAACACGCCAATGATACATTGTATACAGTGTAATATAGATAGAACGCCAATGATACAATGCATACATTGTAATAAAAATAACACGCCAATGATATATTCTATACAGTGTAATATGCATAACACGCCAATGATAGATTCTATACAGTGTAATATACGTAACACGCCAATGATACCATCTATACAGTGTAATATACTAACACGCCAATGATACCATCTATACAGTGTAATATATATAACACGCCGATGATACACTGTACACGGTGTAATGTACATAACACGCCGATGATACATTGTATACAGTGTAATATACATAACACGCCAATGATACAATGTATACAGTTTAATGATACATTTTTGGAAACTTAGTTGACTGATACATGCTACGTTTACTGTGACAAGCATCTGTTTTCTAAAGGAATACAACATAAAAAACATGAACAGCATTTTTAAAGAAAAGTAACTGGGGCAAAGTTAATTAATTGAAAACATGTTTTTCGTAATTATGATAACTTATTGCTACATGTAACACCGTGATAATGCTTGAACATTTTTGAAAATGTTGATATATATTTTCTTAAACTCGGGGGATGGGGGTGGATTTAACTCGTCACAAATTACAGGAATCAATTGTGATGTACAAATGTAGCATACATCCCTAAATACAGAATCTAGTGTCGGAGCAGTCTTTATCCGGCTCTAGATGTAAGCTACTTCTTCCAATCATCTTCATACCACTTCTGGTGTATTATGATTGAAGATTTTAGAAGGAGGAGCAGGAGGGCGATTGTTTGTATGTGATACATTTAATGTAACAACGGCTTTCGAGAATAAGACGACGGATCGGAACGCTATAGAATATAGACAGAACAATAGAACTACCAACGTGTTACACTGGAGCAGATGAAGAATAAGGACTTCTGTTGATGTAGTGGTTCGTCAGTCTAAATAAGTTGACAACTGTTTAAGTTTGAACCGTCTTAAACATTGACCTTTCCCTATTACGCTCGTTTAAACCATTGGTGACGTTGTAATATAAGATTATTTGATATAACCCCAAACCACGTATATTTTACAAGACTCGGTGTCAAAGTTGTAGTTTGTATTGCAAGTGTAAAATATCTTGGTAATATTTGGCATACTGGACCATTGATAGATAGAAATCTTTGTAAATGTCGTAAGCTAGCAAATAGTACATGTTATTTCAGATTTACATGTGTAAATGGGGCTTAACACCAAAACAGGTTGAAGCACGACCGAAAAAATAAATATTTACGAAAAATACATGCATGTATTGACAGAATAACTAAGCGCATTATAAACAAAGACGTATCTGCGGCCTCTTCGTCAGACCTATAATTAAGACAAATAACGGACTGTAAATAGCTCCAGCGAACGGGTCAAAGTTTGACCAGCATGATCAAGACAAGGGGTAATATTGCCAAGTACAGCTAGAAACGACCTAATGTTCATTCAATAACGGTTCAGGACGCGTGTAACTCAATGAAATTATTTCCAGCACAGAAAGAGGCACCACAAAGGAAAAATGGTCACTTATGAATTAAATGTCATTTTGATGTTTAATAATAAACTTAATTTATTATGATAATATAAGTTAGTATGCGAACTTTCTTAAATATTTTGCTTACACTACACAATGCGTAATTAGCTCATGTGATTGACCCGGATACCCCCTCACGAGCCCCTTGACCAATGGTCAGTGGCCAGCCATCCCTCGTCTTGTTTAAAACCCGAGGTTAGGCAGCAGACATTTTCTCGTGTAAACGCCTACCTCTGTTTACTGATCAATAGAAAGTAATCAAAGAAACGATAAATCGGGTCATGAACTTTCACCTCGGGTCAAGTCCTTCGTCTGACCCAGCACAGCGCCATCTATTTTCATCAGTCTACTCTTCAGTTCACTTGTGGCATTTGGTTAATACAATCGATTTGAATTGTCACCAAACCAAAATATAGTCCTTCAGTGATACACACGGTTTACAGACGTAAATCGGTTTTGAGAATTACACAGAAATACAATGACACTACGAGTACCCTGGGTACACATATTGGTACAAATACTTGGCGTGTCGTCTCACACAGTAACAAACCATTCCACATAAAGGGCTTAATGGTATTTGTAAAAGAAATGAAATTAGATATCATTATAAAAACACGCATCAATTGCCTTTGTTCGGTTAACAAAAGCGCAAATTTTGCTTGTGTTAATTTGCTAAGAATATGGTATGTTGTAATGCTCATAAGCAATTAATTCCAGGGTCATGTCGCATGCTGTTTTATGTTGACATTATTGAGCACTTTCAGCTAACCACAGGGCATTCGGTGTGTCTCCAGGGTTTCGGGAAGCACACCAATGAGTTAATGCTGGACCTGTAGGTGTCTGGTATAGCCTGATCGTTTAACCGACAAAGGGCGTTTTGTTACTATGAATGTCTTAAACGTCAGTCTGGAAATTTAAAACCCCGTTATAAATACATGTGTAACACATGACGTGTTAGGAAAATAGGTTATAAAACACACGAAACAACGCGCACGCTAAACCAGTGGTGACGTTAATGTGGGAGAAACAATGGCTTCAACTTGTCACATATATAGTCTGGCATGGGCGTAAAGGCACCTTTTATCTTGATGTGTTTAATATATTATTAATGTTAACCCCTTTTGTTTCGTCTGGAAGCGTATTATAATGTTTTTCACCAAAGTCCTGTACTATGTAAAGCCTTCGCTGTGCATTAAAATTCCTGCAGTTTTCAAAAAGATTTATCAAGCTATATTTACATTTCCACTGCAAGTTCCTCTATGGGCATTAGCATAAGAAACTGCGTTCATAACCCTATGAACGCAATTTGATCTCCAACTACTAATAACACAAGACAACCGCTAAAAGCAAACATTTATGACGGTAGGCTATTTCAGGAATTTCTTTTGCACTGACGACAAAAACACTTCATCATCGCAGATATAAGAGTTTATCTGTATTGAGGTTAAAAATAAATTAAAAAAACTAGAATGTAAATATAAGGACTAAGAGGCATTTTTTCAATGTTCATACTCGTATGAAATTGAAAAAAATGCCGTTCCATCCTTATATGAATGAGCGATTTGTACTGTAAAATACAAATAGCACACTCTGTGATAGCTCGACAAGGGGACCAGTCGTTCTGGACACGCTGAGACGAGTTTGACACGTACATTGACGTTGTTTTGTGTAAAACGTAACATTTTGATAAATTTATAAAGTTTACGAATATAAGAATAACAAACACGTGCACAACATAAATGACAAACTACACAAAGTATTAGCGGACAGCAAATGTCACTAACCGCGAAAATAAGTAGACGCTGAGATCTCGCGTTAAACAGTACGTTATATTGGCTGTGGATGGTGTGCCTCTGTTACGGTCCTTTAGTGTAACACATAGTGATACTATAGGTGAAGTCTGTCTACCAATTTCTAGGAGAAGAAAGTAAGACGCTAACTCGGGGACCAAGAAATAGGATGCAAACTCTTCGACAAAAAAGTAGGACGCGTGCAATCATGGACTCTAAATAAAGTCAAATGTCATTATCAATATTTTTTTCACAAATGTACAACTTGATGGTGAAACATGCCGACAGTTTTATCAGATTTGGATAATAGCCAACACAGACTAGTGACATTAAGGCACTATTTACAATACGGCACACATGTAACATGATATCATTTGGCATTTTAAAACAATTTTACATCAATTTCTCTGTGGAGGATTTTAAAGAGTTTAAGTGTTCTATACACGTTACTATATCTGCATCTTCGTGAGCAAGTCAAAAACATTCCTTTTTTTGCCATTAACACGTGCTGTACGCCACCTATCATGTCCCTGTAAGTCTATCAATCAGCCCAGCAATCCTCGTTAGACCGTCTACATGTTATTATAGCTGATACCTTGTTTATAAACACTAGCTAACTGGTTACATTTAACAACTACCAGACACAGCCTTCCCAAGAGGCGTTGTTTAATAAATAACCCTACTTACGTTTTAAAAGTAAACTTTCGTTTTATTTCAATTAAATATCTATTCTGTGTAAACCTAATGTATAATCGGCTCTACTTCACAATTGTAACTGAATAAAACAATTGTTGATGGTTAAAAATTATCTCATTATATTATTCAAAGATTTTGTATATGAAAATTACTATGTACTTTTGAAAGTTACAAAATGACTGGCCACTTGGTTCATGGAATGTTTGATTAAAAAAACAAACGATAAAAGGGACTAGCGACTTAGGGCTTTACATGTATTCTAACGTCGTAAATTTCCACAACATAGGGAAACAATAATACACTCCCTCATCAATGTTACTACTTAAATTTCAATGCGAAATGAACATTTTTGCAACTGTCATTCAGTATAGTTTCAACGTAATTTCTGTCTAATTCTTACAAAAACCCAGAAACGTAAGAATTAAATCATTAACAGCAACAGCAATTCAAATAGACATGCATGCTAACTGATAGAGTTTCATATACAACGGGTACGTTAAATTTCCTCAGTGTGCAATATCAGCAAACGTCAATGTAGGCGCTTTTACAAGACTGGCATGTCAGACAATACTTACATTTGATGATCAGGAATCAACAGCTTCCATAAAATATCTTGTCGTGATGCAGATCCTCTTCTTGTTTTGTACCATGCCACACTGCTCTGGTCGAAGCGTGTGTGTGTGGTGGTTCAACAAGGCAATAAATACAACACTTATACCCCTTAATGAGATAAATCCCAGAAAAAAACGTGCCCTCTACCAGAAGTACTATTTTATCTTAAAGATCGTAAAATCCGTACAGAAGTGGTGTGCTGGACTATGTAGAATCCCCCTGTAACATCAGAGTAATACAAACCCGTGTCTATGATAGGGACCCGCCGAAGTCTACGGGCACACGAAAAAACATAACTAATAGGACTCAATATGACTGGCTAGGACCGAGTAGCCGAAACGCCTATCTCTTATAAAGAAATACTTTATTGCGATACAGCGGAACGAGTGTTATATCTTTCTCTAGCATTCTTGTGTAATAAGCAATCCTTTGTAAATTCATTTCAATGAACGTTTTATCTTTAAACGACAGTTTATGTCAACATAAAAGAAGAAAAACTGAAATAATTCCTCATTACACGTGCAAAGAAAACTTGAGAAAGTGCAATGCACTCATCTCCTTTTGAAATACATTTTTGTAGACAGGTCTCATTGTAAACATGTTCCTTTTACGTTTGTATCTATGTTTGACTTCATCTCCGAAATCAAAAGGGTTCCGTCTATGTTACACCTATCTTCACTGAAACCTGTAAGATGTAATGGCAAAATTGAATGTTCATTATGTAACACCTTATTGGTGGTACAGGTAAACAGTGTAATGTCTTTGATGAAGGAACATCGCTGCAGCAAAACAATCAAATCGACAGGGTGTGTAGCTTGGTGTGGCTCCCCAGTAATCTTTAAAGACAGGTATCAGCATGTGTTACCTTAAACCAATCAAATACATTTAAGTTCACCCGAGCCTTCGATTTTGCCATTAAATTCGCCAATGATACAGAGAGGATATGTATATCCGTTGGATTTCGAAGATGCTCGGACTAGTCGAAGGTCTGAGTCGAGTACCCAAATTAATTACGGCATGTGCAGTGACTTTGATTCAGTTTTTATGTGTAGACATTATGAACATTTTGGGTTTTATTTTCTGAGGTTGGTAATTTGGACCCCCTCCGCATGTTATCTTGTTTTTAGTTTTGACAGTAATGAAAATATCACCGATTAGGTTTTTCTGTGGTCGTTTTCATTTTTGTGTCGCCTGCGAATACTGGTGACACATATGTATTGCTACAGACCCTGGACAACGTTTCTTGTCCGTTTAAACGCAAACGCAACGGAAACGCATCAGAAACGCAACGGAAACTCAACGCAAACGCAACGCAAACGCAACGCAAACGCAACGGAAACTCAACGCAAACACATACAAACCGTGTGTACTAATAGGCAACATTTTCCCCGTCAGCACAAAAAATGGAATGATGATTTGTCCCCCGATTTTTTCGTGAATATTGATAATTCGTTTTGAAATGGAATTAAACTTCTAATGGCATCCGTTTGGAACTTAACAATACATTACATTTAACATATAATCACTAAATCTACACGACGCAAAAACACATTCCTTTTTATGAATTCATAAGATTAAAAGTATATTTGATGTTGGTGGTTTCTCACTTATCTTTTTGTTTAAAATTTCTATATTTATTATCCCCAAATATTATTTCAAGGTGAAGTTACGGGAATAGTCTTGAACAATGGTTCTTCGACATCAACAATACATATGGCTACTTCTAGTGGATAGTTATTTTTTTTAGTCTCAAATTCTGAATTCGTTGCTAAAAAAATATTTAATCAATTTGTCGAAAAATAATAAACAACCCAAACTAAGTAACGTACGTGTAATTGGTTATTTTTATTTAAACTAGGCGATTGCAAATGTTCAAAAGGAGAAGAAATATGAAACATGTAATTGGAAAATATTGGATATAATTATCATTATATGTATAAAAACAAGTAAATGTGATGTGTTTGCATAGAGTATTATTTCTGTATTATCTTACAAATCCAACTGATATGCTGCAAGCGAATTCCGTGTAATTAGTGTTTTTTTTTCCTAAAATCGACCTTCTCTATTTATATCTCAAACAGGTATAATTCTTATGATATTCTCTTTAGTGGTATTATATGATAATTATAATCAGTATGTATATGAATGATATTGAAGCCGGAGCGTTAGTTATATGTATTTTATCTATAGATCTTACAACACAACATACATGTATACATTCTATGCACTCTGTTACGCTTAATCATACTCATTGCTGTACCCACGGACTTCGATAATATAATCTAATTCCGTGCTGTACCCTCAAATTACACATTTTCATTTGTCTGAGTGATGAAAACATAATCTGAAATCTGAATTACTTGTGTAATTCCCTCCTTAAAACAGCCTTGAACCAAAGATTTTTGCTTTCTCTTGACAGTCATTTTGAAAAGTATATTGCACAAACAGCACTGATTTCACTATCCTAAACAATAGTGAATTAATCCCAACTATCATCTGGTCTTTGCTTTTACCCGGCCTTACGTTCATTATTGTTTAAACGTGTGGTCACCCCTGTTTCCTGCGGCTATTGTTATTTCGAAGGTAAAGACCACAAGGTTACTACCTGTGGTGTCAGGCACAGGGACCCGGGAATTTGCTACAGTTGGTTGTTTGGACCTATCGCGCCGTGTAGGAATATTAGATGTTCTTCTTCTTCTTCTTCTTCTTCTTCTTCTTGTGAAAAGGCGTCATGTAGATTAACTTAATCTGAGAATTAAGGAAGTATAAAATAGATGTTTTAGCGGTTAACACTATTTCTCGAAATAATTGCCGCCCCTCCTCTCTAACCGCACGCAAGAAATGTACCCTGAACATTTTGCTATATCAAGCTGTGAAAATACTTCGTTTAATACAATCAAAGGCTAAGAAAGTGCGAACGTCGTAGTCGACTCTGTTAAACACACATTTGGCTCAGCGGCGATCGTAGCCCACATCTGTGACGTCACAAGTTCAACGCTGTCAAAACAGCCCTATACCGGGAAGTTTTGATCGTGCGTTCGATATGTGAGCTTTTTAGTTACTTATATGATATAATCCGTCGTCACTTACTTGAGTGGTTAATATTTAAAGTGCTACATACATATATTGTGTTTTCCCCATTTTAATGAAGAAATGAGTTCCTACTGAGAAGGCAAATGATGTGCTGTATGCGGGTGTCCGAACACACATGCGGATGCTATCTAAATGAATCCGTGTTTTTACATAATTCGTTAATGAGTAAATGTAAATATTATACTTTTTATCATTTAATTGATCTCTAGAAAAAATGATGAGCACCTATATACAATACAAAGCAATTGAGTAAATATTGAGTCAAATTAACGTAGGCGCACCCCACCCTTTCTTTACAATATGTAGATATACGATTGAAACAGACGAAAACATGCACAGGTACAATAATTTATGCTCAAATTGAGCAGCAACCCGAGTATTTTTACCCCCAGTTAAAATCTTGACATTTTTTTTTTTATTCTTTATGCAATCTTACACATAATAGATATACACACCAATTTCAAAATAAAATCCTGCAGAGGGAGAACCGGTCCGTTCAAGTCTCAAAAAGATAAGTAATATATAATGCGCATAACAGGGTCCAGCATTATTTGGCTTGTTACTAACTTTCATCTGTCCGGTGATGCAGTTGTACTGACTTTGATTTGCATATAATGTGACTCTTTGGGCAGTAGTTACACATTTTATTTATTCGTCTTTTTCTTGAAATTGATCCTTATACCAGAGACGTAATATATACGTCTCTGCTTAAACGTTTGCCCGTTATCTAGACTGAGGACATTGCAGTTAAATGGAAAATTGGAAGACACATAATCTACACCAATCTACATACTGATTATTATAGTTCTAACTGCTTTATCGCATGAACATGTTTATATGATTCCATGATGAAAGAGCATATTTTAGCAAAGATATGGTTTATTTATAAGTTTATATTTTAGATGAATTATGTGATAATTCACTGATGTAAATTAAATATTAATAGTGTTGATTAATATGTTTAACATATGTGTATGCAATGAGTTGAGACGTAAATAAATAAATATAAATATACTAACTTCAGGTACCCTCTAGACCACTTGCTAACATCCCTTTGTGGTCATACTGGACACAGGTATATTGGTGCGTCTTAGGCCTCCTGCTGTCAGCACTGGGCACGGGTGTGTTTAGTGTTATTTAGCTGTACACAAATGTCACACCTTAGGTAATGGATCGAGACGATTTTCATTATTGAACCAAGATGTTAAATTATAACTTGGGTACATAACTGATTACATGAAGACATATATTACGTATTGTATTCTAACACGATTCGTTTGCAACACGTGTTTTGATTGGATATGGACCATGTTCTAATCTGCGATAGTATCATGATCAATCGTGTTAAGCTCCTCCCATCGCTCTTCAGCCACGCCCCGTTTCTAACCAAAACAATATGGCATCGTATAGGCAACAGAACACGACCGATGAAATGTATTTGTTGAATGTATTAAAAAGTAAAAAGTACACATTCCTTGTTCTTACCTCCATTTATTACTGAAACGTTCGTTCCATCCGTATGAAGGCACCTAGTTTGATCCGAAATAACATGAAACATTTCACATGTGTCGTATGAATTTACACAAAACTCTTCACAAATCTGTACAAATAATCACCGATTTTGTCGGTAAGCACATACTGGTATGCATACTGACATGGAAATGTAAGAATTTGGTCAATATTAATCCAAACGTGTCGTATAACCTTTGGTAACAGGACGTTTACGAACATACAGATCGAGCGCACGCCAGTATGGGCGGGGTCAAATGACCGAGTTTGAAAGTTTCTTTCCGATTGGTCAGTCCGCTGCAGAATGACACGTCGCCAGTTCAGGTCACAAAGTACTTTACTACGTACTTTTGTACAAGTTTCTAAACATATTAGCGTAGTATATTTGTTAAGATGTGTTAGAATGGGGATAGTACGTTGTTTTTCGTGTCTATACTGGCGATTAGAACATGAAATTTGGTTTAAACTCTCGACCTATCGGTCTCGAGTTCCAAACCAAATTTCATGTTCTAATCGCCAGTATTTATTATTTTTTTTATTTCCTCCAAATTGAAGAGTTACAAAAATATACAGTGTAGTCAAAATACAAATCAAATATTACTAATTGATACTTAAATGCACATAAATACATCAGTTAACTACAGAGTTGAAGAGAGAAGTTAA